TTTAGTAACTCTGCACCCGTTTAAGTAACGTAAATGCCGTCTCTTTCTGCCTGTTCACGGCCGTTCTTCAAACACTGGAAAAACAGCGTCGCTCCGAGTTTGTTTTTCGGTTATTTTGCTCTGTGCTCGTAGCCGATGTGGATCGGCTTAGTCAGGAAAGCTCTTTTTGTCCACATGTTGTTGCAGCCGCATTGAAATTCTGCTTCTGCTGTGGAGCCATTTGGGATTTGTGAAATACAGCGAAGGGTTTTTGTGGTGTAAAAAACCAGCTTGGGTAAAAAAACAGCTTGGCATTTATTTCTTCCCAGGCTTACCCCGTGCCCTGTCTTTGGGGATGGCTTTTGCTCTACATATGTAACAGTGCGTGACTTGATGGAAAAAAGACTTCAGCTGCTCAATGATTTCTAGGTGATCGTGGGCCTCCGAGCCCCGCTTCCTTGCGCGTTTACCGAAATTTGTAGGGTGGTTTTCTCTGCGTTTGACTTCTACCGATAAACGTCTGCCCTGGCTGTGTGAGCAGGGCTGGCACCAGGACCCAGCAGATACACCAGCAGGAGGTTATTGCTGGCCACAGCAGAGATCTGAGGGACCCAGAATACCATTTTCTGCACAGCTGCAGAGGAGAGTGTGTGCTGAGAAAGAACCCTTACATGTAACTCGCTCCTGCTCCCTGTGTGCTAATGGTGTCACCCACAGGTTTGCAGAACGACCACAAGGCCCTGATGAAGCAGGTGGAGGAAGCTCTTCACCAGTTGCACGCCCGGGAGAAGGAGAAGCATGCCAGGGATGAGGCGGAGGCGTTGGCTGAGGCAATGACCCAGAACCAGAGCCTGCCACAGGCGTTTGCCAAAGTGAACGCGGTGACCCCAGGATCTCCTGCAAGTATCTCGGTAGGTTGGTGGGGTCTGACAGCCCGTGGGGAAGGCTGCTTCTGGACCCAGAGAGAAAACATAGCCGATGGCGCTCTCTGTCTCTTGTTAATAAGTGAGAATAAGTTGGGGGTTTGATTAGGGTTCTCCCCACCCCTTTTTTTTTTTTTTGTCACACTGGGATGTCCTGTGAATAGACTAGTCACTGTGCGGGAATGAGAGGAGTACTCTCTTCTCAGCTGTATCGTTGCACCACGCAGTGAGCTCCTGGAAGGCCTCACTGACCATTCTAGCCTCAGTATTTCTCTTCCCATAAAGTAGGACAGAGGAATGAGTACTTACTTCTTTCTAAGGACACGAAGAGGGTGTAATGTAGGTCAGTTGCCTGAATGGTGAGAGGAGTAGTGTCATAGCACGCCTCTCCCCATGCGGCGGGGTGAAGGGTGATGCTCCTGTGATACTACCTGCCTTTGGAGAAGGCAGATGTTCATCTCTCTTCTATCTCTGTCCAGGGGCTTCAGGTTGATGATGAGATTGTGGAGTTTGGTTCTGTCAACATAAACAACTTCCAGAACCTGCAGAATATTGCCACAGTGGTGCAGCACAGCGAAGGGGTGAGCTCATTTCTGCTGTAACTGCATTCTCTTGCCTGTCTCTGTTAGCCACGTCTTTTTCTATGGAACTTAGATCTCTGGGATCATCATTTCCATGTCGGAAACAGTGTCAGATTCGGTCTGTGCTGTTGTAGCCTTGTTCTCTCACAGCATTGAGCTAATTCCTGCTGGACAGAAGAGAGCTAAGAGGTGTGTGCTCTTTGCTGTGAGCATTATATTGTCTGTTCTCCCCTGGGGACTCCCTGCAGCAGCAGGCTGCATTGCTGTGGCACCCTCATGGACTGGCCAAAGAAGCTGCCACAGTCATCAAGCACTTTATAGTGGAAGTGAGAGATTGCCTGGAGATGTCTCCCTACCAAACGCTCTCTTCTTTCAGATCTAGCTGCGGGGATGGGAATGGGAGCCGCTGAAGAAGAGCTCCCCTGGGCCTACTGTTCTTCTGGTGCTTCAGCAAAAGAAGGAAGAAGAGGGTTGACTTGGTGATGGAAAGTTGCCATCTTTTTTTCTTTCATTTTTTTTCTCCCTTTCAGAGACCCCTGAGTGTGACTGTGATCCGCAGCGGCAAAAAAGTGCACGTGGGGCTGACTCCGAAGCGCTGGGCTGGGAAGGGCCTCCTGGGGTAAGCTGCTAGTTCATTTACTAGAACGGATGAGGCTTTCGCCCAGCTCAGAGCACGTTTCCTGCAGCAGGGCCAGCTCTCTGCTTTGGTCTCAGTGTGCGTTGCTGCCCACTCTGATGGACTTCACTGGCGGGTACCAGCTGAGAGCTGGAGGCCGACAGTTTTGCACAGTGGTATGGCGAGGCGAGTTGTATCAAACATGAGGATCTTCCTCCCCGGAAGATCTCAGTGGCTAGTTTGTCTGGTAGAGGAAACCAATGGAGGAGGGTTGTGGTGGGTCTGATTTGTGCCATGTCAGATCTTCTATGCCTGTCTGAGAGCTGAGACTCTTAACTACCCTCTTCTTTTTCAGCTGCAATATCATTCCCTTGCAAAGATGACCATTGCTTGGAAAACAATAAAGCTGAAGTTTGTGCCTGCTTTCTGGACTCTGATCTTGGTTTGAAAACTTCCCTACGTGTTTTTGCTGAAACAAATGTTTTGGAGGCTGTGACCTCTAGGTGCCTGACTTGCAGAGTCTGAAGAGGTTCTGATAGAGCAGGGCCTGCCTGCGATTCAGAATTGCGCTGGTTCATCGGGAGTAGCTTGCAGAGCTGCAAGATGTGGCTTCTCATCTCTTACGCCTTGTATCAGTTTGGAATGAGGCTATAGACCCAAACTTCACTTGATACGGGCTCTAAAAAGCATGAAATGTTCTTACTTGGTGATAACAGAGCATTCCTTTTTTTTTTCTCTCTGTAAAATTCCTCACTGAACATCTTGTAACATATGCTTAAAAAGTCCTGGAGCACTTCTTGTTGTCTTTAACAGTAGATCACAGTCAAGAAATACGCAAGTTTGGTACTTTATCTTCCCCATGTTACCACAACTTTTGAAGTCACTAAACGTGATGAAAGAATCTTTGGAATGCCTAATTATTTTAAGTTAATGAGATAAGGAATAGGGTTTATAATTCTACTTTGATTTAGTAGTTTGTATAGTCATGATAAAAGTACTCCTAATTTGGCTTTTTTTTTTTAAATTTGTTTATTTGCAGTAGTTGCTTTTAGGGTGTATAAACTCCTTGAGGGGACTTCAGGGATGATTGGTTTGTTGTAAGCTTGTTTCCAGTTAAACTTCAAAATACTCTCCCAAAACAATAAAACTGAGTAATGCCTCTCTCCATTCTTGTGGAAGTTACTATTTTGGGCAATAATTGTGGGCCAAGTTGGGTTAAACACAGGCCTGCACAGGCACAAAAGCATGACTCCCCGACCTTCCAGAGCCAAAGCCCAGGTAAGGTGCAAGTCTTTCATTAGCGCTTCATAAGCAGGTTGTGGGCATAAGTAACACATTACACGTTATGAGCAATTTTGTTATTAAGATGAATAACCAGACCTGAAATGGACTGAAAAAGTGGACTAAACCCCTCACTGTTAAATCATTCACCCAGGGCTCTGTGTTAAATTAAGTTTAGCCTTTTGATATTTCAAGCATTTGTGTTTCAGCATACAGTCCAACAGAGCAGGTTCTCACTGAAATGGTAAAGCTTGAAAGCAAAGCTCCTTGCTCGGTGGTTCCTGCAGGCTTCACGGTGCTACGGAGGAAGCGTTAACTGCAGCAGCCCATGGCAGTGTTCCTTGGATGAGACTGTATCCAGATAATCCCCATCAAACGCAGTCTCACCCTGGCCTTTCAAGTAATTTTAAAAGGGCTGAAACATGGCGCTGTTTTGCTCCATCTCTTTTCTTGAAAAATAACTGAGAATGGGAGGTGTTTTGGGACCCTCTGTCGCATGTGCATCCTGCCTCGCTTTACCAGAGCAGTTCTGAGGCTAAGCCTGCGCTGCTGACCTTTACCAGGCGCTATGACCCACAAAGGCCACTGCATTTCCTAAATCCACTGTGAAATCCCACTGGAAAGCAGCGTGATGTCCCTTTCTGTAGTTACAAGGTAAGTACCCCCCTGGGGTTGTTCTGTAGGAGGGCTGAGTCTCTGCGTGGGACCGCAGTGCCAAAAGATTTGCGTAAAACAAGAGTTTTAAAACGCATGTTGCACCAGGTTTGGGAGCCTTGTTTTTTGCAAAAGGGGTTTTCGTATTTGTAGGTGCTGCTGCAGTTTCTAAACCTGTGACTGTCCACAAGCTATCTTCTGTCCCTGTAAAATGGAATGTAAGTGTAAGTATGTGGATAAATTGGGTATCAATTGGCAGCTGAAATGTCAAGGGGCTGGCCTTGGCCGTGTGTACTTGGGAAATGTGTGTAGGTAGCCTAGCTTTTACTTGAGCTGCAGATGAATCTGGGTCTAGATACCGGTCCAGGAGAAGAAAAGCTCATGGGACGCATCCTTCCAGGCCTTTGCATTTGTGCCTCCTGGGATGAAAAGATCTAGAAAATCCCAGCTTTACGTACCGCTCTTGAAATGGGGTTAGGGGGTCAGCCCAGTCCCGCCAGCCAGGTTAATTCCTGCTCTCCGGGAGCTCATTTCCCTTTCACCGTGGAGGGTGTCTGCATGCTTCACAGGGCTCTCAGCTCTGCGAGGCTTTTGTAGAAGTGTGTCCCCTAACCCTATGTCCCAACTGCCGCACCTCCAGCCCCTCTGATTGTGTGTCCTGACTAGAACAGGTTGAACAATCCTGACAAGTGTAATAAACACAGATTACGTTGCAAAACCTGCTGTGGATAGGTAAGGTTGGAGCTTCTTCCTTAGACCACACTCAAACATCTGTCGCAGGACCAGAGCAGAAGAGGAGCTGCTCTTAGTCGGAATAAGCAGGGTTTTCATGCTGGAGAGCAGAGATGACTCCCTGTATCCTGTATGATCGGGGAATGTGGACTGGATGCTGCCGGGTGGGAAGAAAAGCACTGTGTCTGCACAAGCTTGACGTGCAGGTGCTGATGCACTGAACAAAGCTGCCTTCTTGTACCTAGCAGAGGTACTGGGGCTTAAGGACCAAATCCCTGCTCCTGAAGCCACAAAACTCCCCCTGGTTTGAACCAGTGGTTGTGCCACAGATGAGAAGCTGAGAGCAGCTGTGTCTCGATGACCCGCCTCTGCGCGGCAGCCTCTTCAGGTCGAGGAGATAATGTGAGCTGATAACAAAACTCCTTTCCTCTCCCAGCAGGGTACGAGGCTCTTGCTGGGCAGAAAGAAAAACAAATTAGATTTAGAAATTGTTATTACTTGAGCTTAACAGCACGGCTGAAGTCAGTAGTGGGGAACACTTAGAGCTGATTATCTGCGAAGGCGATAGCTTGGAGCGATCGCTGGCAACGGGTTCCCCTGTGCAAGTGCCGTCCTGGCAGAGAGCTGGGGATGGTGGGGGGACCCAGTGGTGGTTAGAGGCTGATTTTTCTCGCTTTGACTCTGCTTGTCCTGCTCAGGGGTGCCAAGGGAGCAGAAGCTGCCCACAGCCCCCTGGGTGGGGGGGGGGCATTGAGTAAAGATCCCTCGTCCTGTTCCCTGGGCAGGGTGAGGGTTCGGTCCCAAAGGGGTCTGGCAATGCCAGGGGGGGCTTTGTCACAGCCATGAGCAGGATTTAGGCTTGGGCAGGGCGAAGGGCTGAATGTCCCCCCACACCTCCAAGCTCCTGCTTTGGGCGGGGGGTCAGTGCCGCCTCTCCACGGCAGCTGTTGGAGATGAGGAGGGTCCCCCCTTCTCTCCCCACACAGCCCCCCTCTCTCCCCCGGTGCTTTCTGGGCTGTCACTGGTGCAGCTGGTGCGACCGTTGGTGCAGCCGGCGCAGCCGTTGCCTGGGAACAGCAGCCGGATTCAAACAAAAGCGGGGACCGGTGTGATGGTGAGTGGTGGGGTCCCCAGGGGCAGCGGGAGGACGGGACAAGTTGGGGAGGCACCAAGGCCTGGAGGGGGCTTGGGAACAGCTCTGTGGTCACCCTGGTGAGACCTGTGGGGCCGTGGCCGTCCCCGAGCAGTGGTCCTGCCTGCCAGGGGCCAGAGGGAGGGTTTCTCCCAGGGGCCCCTTCCCACTCCCGTGAAAGCTCTCTGTGCACAAGGTTTCAGCGTTGGCTCAAATCCAGACTGGTGAAGCCGGAGATGAACCAGCTGCCGCCCAGGAGTAGCCCTGCTGCTTACAGGGACGGTGACAAAACCCCATCTGAGGGGAAATGTCCGTGCCCAGAGCAGCGTGCAGGCAGACGGGGAGGGAGCCTGATCGCAGCTGGAGTGACTGGGGCTGTGCTGGGCTTGCTTGCACTTGGCAGGAGTGTTACTGGAGCTGAAAAGGGGCTCTGGGACCCATTTCCCAGCTTCGCGGGTGCCCTTTCCTCTGGCTGTGCCAAATTCCAGGTCACTGTGCAGCCAAACCCCGGGCGGGGGGAGTATTTCAGAGCATCTCTGTGCCCCAGCTCCCTGGAAGGAGGGTGAAGGTGAGGATGGATGGGGCAAGTGAAGTTATACCAGAGGAGCCAACTGGGGGAAGAACAGGACTAAGCGGTGAGCCCATGGAGATGTCCCAGGATGGACCGACAGCTCAAGGAGATGGCCGTGCTGCCTGAGCAGGCGAGGGCAGCACCACCGCAAGCCCTGCCTGATGCAGGGTCCGCGGGCAGGTCCTGATGGAAGCAGAGTCCCCAGCTCCAGGAGCCAGGGGGTAGTGTCTCCCGGACGTGGTTTCTCCCGAGATGTCCCCAGGGAGGTGGAGTAGGGACCCCGCCAGAGGGCTCAGCAGATGCAGCATCTCTGCGTAGTCTCAGTCCAGCCATCAATATTTGCTGAGCACTTGAGCTGCCTGAGAGTTACATGAGCAGGAGGGAACCTGGCCTTGTCCCTGCACTGAACGAAAAGTTATCTTATCTCCCTCAGAAACAGAAATGGTGTCCAAACGAGGTTTATACCTTGCATGAGAGATTGCTATAGGAAATCAAGTAGCCCCATGGGGAGAGGCAAAAGCTGATGTGAATCCCAGGAATAAGATTAAGTGGCCCGTGCTCAGACTGGGGAAAGGCTGTCCGAGGGCTGCTGTGATCTCTGACACCCCAGGGCTATTTAATACATTTATTAACATGCTGACGAGGGGCTGAGGAAGGTGGTGGTGGTATTTTTACCCTCGTTTTCTGTCTGCTTGCCAGGCAGCACGGTGAGAGGTGCAGGCAGTAGAGCTGGGATTGGCTGCAGAGCCCTTCACAGCCATCTCAGCTCCAGTCCCAGGACCCGATTCCCCTGTTTTTAACCTCAATTTGCCATCACTCCCTGTCCAGCATGTGACCATGTGCCCTGCTGCAGCAATCAATAACGTGTGTGGGGAATAATCAGGGGATGGACAGCAAAAAGGCCAGACTTTTTGCCTTCAAAGGACCTATAGGTTAGCTCCGGAGGAGAAACTTGGGCATCTTAGCCCAGGTGATAGGAGCTGCCTGGAAGAGGTGCTGGTGTGAGACATGGGATGCTGTGGAGGTGTAAAGAGGGCAAGACTAGATGTGCAGGAAGAGAAGAAGCGACTGGTGGGAAACTTTTCCCTGGTACAAATCCATAGGCAGTTTAGGAGCAGAGGAGTATCCTGGTATTGGATCCTGCCCTGAAAGTGATGTAGGTTGGATCCGAGACGTGCTGGGGTGTGTTCCCACTAGCTGCGGACCAGCCCAGGAGCCAGTGCACACCGAAACTTCTCGCCCTTTCCAAGGACCCCCTCGCTGCTGCTAAGGAGAAGGAAGGAGCAGATCCAGAGGATGCTGGAGCAGATGCACTGTTGGGTCCCCTGTGGTCTCCTTCAGGCATGGGGATCCCAGGCACCCTGTCCAGCACCTGGGCTGGGAGGCAAGACATGACCGCCTTGAGGACTGCCCTGGGAAAAGACACTGCTGCGACAACACACCTGGAGGGCACCGGACCCCCTGGACCACCCCCAGCACCGCCTGAGCCCAAGGGGGCCATTTCCAGCCCTTGCTCAGGCTGCAGGGAGCAGGAAACACAGCAGAGGAGTGGGGAGGACGACGGGCATGACGGCTCTGCCAGCTTGGTGTGGGCAGCCACGCCAGGGATGCTCTTCCAGGAGGACAAGCAGACCAGACCTCACCCCCTCGTGAGTATCAGCGGGCACGGTGCCACCATGATGGCCCACACAGCACCCGGCACTCCTGCCCAGCTCTCTCCCATCACCCCAGAGATGTTTTGTGGCTTTTTTGTCCCAGCCGCTAAGCGCCAGGGACAAAAGCTCTGCCTCTTCCCTGCAGAGCCTGTCCTGGGTGTTGGGCTACAACAGCAGCCTGGCCGTGCACAGCCTGATGGACAGGGAGGACTGGGTGCTCCTGTACGTCTCCTCCCACACAGTGGTCATCCATGACATCCTGGGGAACAGGCAGTACCACCTGCAGGTCTGGCATGCAGCCCGTGTACCTCCCTCCTCCTCCTCCTCCCCTTCTCCTGAACTCTCTCCCTCCATCTCTTTTCCTGGTGCCTGCTGCTTAGGGGTCACCTGTAACTGAATCAAGGAGCAGCCCATGCAAAGGAGTGCATCGTTCTGCTCACACGCCTGTTGCAATTCCCAACACGTATTGGTGGAAGGTGCTTTGTGTTGGATTGCAGTGGTGACCGCGAGCAGCACGTGCAGCATGGCCCCCTCCTCTCCGCTGCTTCTTGGCGCGGGGAGCCGCAGCCAGCACAAGGCACAGAAGACAGGGACGGGCTTGGAAGAGCCTGTGAGAAATGGGATGCAAAAGTTGGGCTGGAAGGATGAGCTCCAAGGCTCCTCCTTGGGAGAGGAGACAAGGGGATCTCATGAGCAAAGCAGTTTGAATGCTTTAAATAACCACCCAGTCTGGAGCCTCTGCAGCACTTTGCTGCTTCTCGTTCCCCAGGGCCACACAAATGTCATTTCTTGCCTGTGTGTGAGTGAAGACAGGCGCTGGGTTGCAACCGCCGACCGAGGGCCAGATGCTCTGATCATCGTGTGGGACTCCTTCTCTGGGTAAGCTCCTGGGAACCTCCTCTTTGGAAACCTCCTGTGTCTGGTAAATCACTTAGGACTGACTTCAGCCTCAGCTGAGGTGAAATGGGAGAAATGTGGGGATGGGGTAAAGCAGCAAAGGAGTCAAAACCAACCGAGGGCTTCATCGTCCTTGTATCACACCTATGTATCACACCCATAGGACACTGAGATGGGGCCAACTTCCCCAGACTAAGTACATCATGTCTCCAAGCTGTAGCATTTTCTTAAAAGACCACTGGTGAGTTGTTTCCCCGAGCCGTTTACTCGGGAGGAAGGGCTGGAGAGGATGTTGAGCATCAGCCATGGCGCTGGCCGCTCCCGTGGCAGCGCTGGTGTTTGCAGACTCCCTCCCTGCCATGCAGACTGGGGTGGGCTGTGCCACAGATTTTGCCAAGCAATTGCCTTGAACCCGCTGTGCTGCCGTCAGCGACCACGAGGACTTTGCTCTGTAGGATACCGGTGCGCACCATCTTTGAGAGTCATCCAGAGGATGGGGTCAGTGCTATTGCTATTTCCCAGGATGCGAAGTATTTGGCAACCATTAGTGCTGGTACAGTGCAGGTAAAGAAAATATTTCCTCTTCCGTAGCTTTGTGGGATAGATCCCTGGAAATTTTTCCCAGTTCAGCCAAGAGGCGGCGGGGAGGGATTTGGATTGGGAGAGCAGAAGAGAGGTGGAGCAGGTTTGCAGAGTGATGGCTTGTTTTTGCTGAGCCATTGGAAGACAGACCTGGATTTGATTGAAGTGAATGCTGTGGAATTGAGAAAACAGATCTTAAATTGGGATAAAAGCTTCTGACTCCAATGCGCTTTCATTGAAGCAATTTCTAGCATTATTTCCTAAAATTAAGCTCTCTGCTGTCAGGCCTGCTCCAGTCTTTTTGCCCCACTACACCCTGCCACTGGAGGGAATGGGGTTCACCTGGTTCCCCCAAGCTCCCAAAAAGCCACAAATGTCCCTTGGTTTTCCCTTCTCTGCCAGAGAGTTTGTGTTTGGAAGTGGACTTTGCCCACGGAGAAACCCGTGTGCAGCACAGAGCTGAGGCCTGAGTTTGGGTATCAGGTGAGTGACCGCGGCCGAGGGGTGCAGAGGAGTGCGACTGGGCAGCCCCGTCTTCACCTGCTCCCTCCTGCACCCCCATGTCCCCATCCAGTACGGGGCTGCTGGTAGATGCTGGCTGGAGGTGGGAGACAGGATCGCACCCTGTCCCTGCTGCATCCCAATGCAGCAGAGCATCTCGGGGCTGTTTATCGCTGCTCTTCTGCTGCCTGACAGCTATGGGATATGGATGGGACCCTGCTGGGATGTCCTCTGCCGCAGCCCTAGCACTGGCCGGGGCTCATGGCAGGAAAAGTCCACGGCCCTGCCGGTTTGTCCCCACTCGCAGAGGAGAGAGCACAGCTCTGGTGTTTCACCGGGAATTTGGTCTCTGTTTTCAGTTCAGTGCAGGTGGTGAAGTGGGTTTTGGATAGAAGCAGATGTTTTGCATGAAAGAATAAGCAGAAGGCATTGCTTGGTTTGGTGTTTATGTGATTCTCACCTTTTAATTTCAGGATTATGTAATTTTTAACCCTCAAAACCCCTATGAGTTTGTCAGCAACAGCAAAACCCAGGTGATATTTTACCTGTGGGTAAGTAGGGACATGGGAAGTTATATTTCTGGTGCCAGACACACTCCCAGAGGGTTAGGAGGCAGCACGGGGGGCTGCACACTAGTGAGGCAGCATGGGCTGCGGGGCCAGATGTCTGCCCACGACTGGGGTCGCACTTTGCTTTGCAGATCTGCCCCTGCCCTCGCCCCTCCCCACTCCCTGCCCTCGCCAGACACAAAATTGGACATGAGGAAAAATTTCTTTACTGAAAGAGTGGTTAAACATTGGAAGAGGCTGCCCAGGGGAGTGGTTGAGTCACCATCCCTGGAAGTATTTAAAAGACGTGTAGATGAGGCGCTTAGGGACATGGTTTAGTGGGCATGGTGGTGTTGGGTCGACGGTTGGACTCGATGATCTTAGAGGTCTTTTCCGACCTTAATGATTCTATGATTCTATGAAAAGTGGCCTGGGCAGAGCATCACTGTCGCTCTACTCCCACGCTGGGTCGGTCCCAGCCGTGGCAGCGATGCTCTCCACCTCTCCCACCCGTGCTTTCCTGTGGGCCCTTTTTGTTCCTCGTGCTGGTCAGCAGCTTTTGGGAGGGGAGCAGGTAGAGGGAGAGGGTCTTTTGTGCTCTCTGGAAGGTCTTGGAGCCTTTCTGCCCCAGGAACCCTGTTTTGGTCACCACAGCACGGGGTCAGTGCCCAGACGATGGGGAAGGGACACACTGGCACTGCAGAGCACGGTTACAAAACGCTTGTCCTGGACGTTTTCTCCGCTTTCCCCAGGGTGATGCTGGTTTGCAGTACAGCACGCCACTCCTGAGCAGCCAGGTGAGATCGGGGGGACCACAGCATGTCACCCTTTTGGCTTTCCTCCTGAGAGCAGCACTGTCCCTTCCCATCCCCTTAAGCAAAAACAGTGGCCACGTCCCCATCCTGTCCCCCTTGGTCTCCTGAAGGGACAAACCAGGATTGCCTGAGCTGAGGTCAAGAGGGGCTCTCCCTCCCAGAGGTGCCCCACGGCATCTTCACCTGGGGCTCTTGCCTCTGATGGCCTTGCCATGGGACAGGGAGGGAATGTCACATGGAGGGGCCAAGCAGGAACATCGCTGCTTGAGGAGGTAAGAGCCAGCACCCAGGACGAACACGTGGCCCCACCGCTCTCTCTGCAGACCTTCAACAGTGTGGTGGGACGCTTCAGCCAGTCAGTTTTTCATTTTAACAACTCGCAAGCTCTGACGGGCACCTCGGCTGGGAAGCTGGTGGTGTGGGACGCGGTCAGTCCCCACACCCCTTCCAAGGAACTGCGGGTCAAGCCACACAGCATGAAGGCCACCAAACTGGTGCCTATGCAGAAGGCCAGCCTTACCGTGCTCATGGTGTTTGAGAGGTAATGGGATGGCAGTTTTCAGTAGCCGTAGGTACAGTCCTTAGACATTTCAGCCACAGAGCTAATGCTGATGAACCACAGCCAAGTGTTGCAGTTTTAAGTCACTTGGCAGCATGCAAGGACCACATAAATTCATGCAGAAAAGTGCTGCTGACTTATGAGACATTGCTCCGGCTTTTTTCAGCAATGAATTTGGCTGGGGAAAAAAAAAAAAAGGTTGAAAACTCCTGGCAACTTGATTCCAGCTCTGCTGGGGTAGCTCAGACACGGAGTTGGCCATGGTCACGGAGGATTGTCGATCAGTCTTGCTCAGCCTCCTGGCCTTTACCGGCAGAGGGAGCAGACAGCCACCAAACGCCTTGACAGCCTTGGGGACAGGGCAGAGGACACTGCTGGGTCACAGCAGAGCCTGGTGGTTTCTGCACAGCCCTCGGCTTTCCCCCTGCGTATTTGTACAGGGCTCTTCTCATGCACTTGTGCAGAGAAAAGGGGAAGAGATTTGTCCTTTTCTCTGCACAAGTGCATGAGAAGAGATTTGCTTCTGCCCAAGGATGCTATCCAAGAAATATTTGGGAGTTCTCAAATCAGTGTGTTGATTAAAAGCTTTCCCTTCCTTGCAGCTGCATAGTAACAGGTGATGTGAAAGGTCAGGTTAAATTCTACGATGGAGAGCTGCAGCTCCTCGCCTGCTACAGCCACAGCAAAGTGGGTCCCATTCAGTCCATCTCCTTCTCCAAAACTACTCCTGAACCTCCTGGTGCCTCCCCAGCCTGCTCTACCTCCTGCACTGCCAGCAGCCAGCCCTTCGTTGCCCGGTGAGTGCCCCTTTATAAACCTAGGTCTTCTCCTGCATTTGCCCTGCAGCTTGAAAGCTGGGGAAATGGTCAGCTGAAAGCTGCCCCATGTGCCTCTGCTTTGGCTGGAGCAGGTTTCAACCCTGTACCCCGGCTTCTGGGCAGGACAGAGGCAGATGCAGAACAGGGTGGGAAGGTGCCCCTTTATTCCCCTTCTCTGCAGATTTTCATTTTGGGTATTTGTCCCAACTGCCCACCAGAGAGAAGCAGGGGGGTATCTCCTGGGCAGCCCCTCTCTGCCTGCAGCCCCCGGGCGTCTCCCAGCAGCCGCCAAAACCCAGGTGGGCTCCAGCACATCCTAAATTCTGAACTTGATGTGATGCCTTGGCACAGACTAGAGAAGCGTTAACACAAGCACGGAGATGATCAGCTGGTCCCGGGTCACGCAGTTCCTCTGTCACGTACCTGGCACACCAGGCAGTGCTAATGCCAAGCCTCCAGCTCCCGCTGGGCCCCTTAATCCACCACCTTAAATCCCTCCCATGGAAGGCTGTTTCCAGTTAGATTCTATCATGGCTGGGCAAGTTGATCGGAGCAGTGGCGGTGCAGAGTCTGCCCCAGCAGCGATGGCACCAGTGCTGGGTTGCACCACATGGACTCAGCAGCTTGGGACAGCTCCAGCCTGGTTGCCGGCCCCTCTCTGCCCCTCTGCGTGACGTAGCTGTGTCTGAGGATTTATAGGAAGTCTGCAGGCCAGATGAAGCTGTTCTGTGGCTCGATCCAGCCTGCAAACCATATGTCTGTCACTCCTGTTAAGGCTCTCCTGGCAACGTCTGTCCTTAGCTGCACGTGTTTTCCAAAGAGCCATATGGGACAGATTCCTCTCCAGCCTGGAGCAGCGCCCTGGGGAACGATTTGGTTTTCCCTGTCGGTCTCAGTTGTCTCATCCCTGTTCCTGGGTCGCTGCTGCAGCTCCTGCTGCTTGCAGCTGCTCTGGGCAGCACAAAAGGCAGAAAACGAAAGGGGAAGCCTTGAGTCTGCTTGTCTCACCAGGCTGGTGGGATCAGGTATGGCTGAAGAGCCCCACTAAAGCATGCAAGAGACACAGCATCCTTCAGTGCCCAGGCCAGATGTGCATAAACCGATGGCTGTCATGGGCCAGCTACCAAAAGAGGCTGCTGTTTCCCCACTCGTGCTGCCCGTGTGATGCAGCCATGCACATCTGTCTGTGCAGCTCTTGGATCTCTATGTGGTCCTCTCTTGACCCTCTGCTCTCAGTTCAGACTCTCAGTCCTCAGGCGGACTGACGACTATACATATTTGTTCTGTAACGTGCATAATTATTCAGATGTCTGCTTTACACATCACCAATTATGCAGCAGGACCCTCTTCACTGCGTTACGGTCGGCGTGGCTGAGTGAACAGACAGGCAGCCACTCTGCGGCGTGGGTCTGAAACTGTCCTCTGACCTTGTCCGTGGTGGTGCGGTCAACATGGAGCTGCTGACAATGGTGGCATGGAGACATGTGAAAAGACTATTCAGAGTATCTTCAATTGCTCATTTGTCCGTCTCACACACCAGTGACTTGCAAATGGCAAAAGCTACACAGATGTCATTCATCTTCTGGCTTGCCTACCCAAGTAGAAAATGGAACTGGCTCCAGTGTTTTCCCGTGGAGATTTACCAGGTCATCAATACAAAGTGCCACCTGCCTTCCAGGTCAAGAAGTGTTTGCATATTGCATATCGCAAAATATAAGTGATCGCCCAACTAAGTTGTCAAAAAGAGACTAATGTGTAATGTAGCTTGGAGGGACATGAACCAGCTAGTCTGATTCATCAAATTCTGTTTCTCTCACACTAAACAGGAACTTTATCCTTTCAACCTCTGATGCAACCGTGCTCCATGTTGCAACAGATGGGACATACTGTGAAAAAGTCATGGAAGAGGCGAAGAAAGCTGTGAATGCCATTGCCTGTCACCCCCGGCAGGCACTTGTTGCTGTAGGGAGTCACTGTGGGCTGCTGAAGGTGTGGGACTACCAGCAGACCAAGTACCTTGTTAGCAGGATATTCATCGAGGCCGGCATCCAGTGCTTGTGCTATGACCCTGAAGGTATCCTGGTCTTATGACCTCCCCATGTGCCAAGCACCGGGCTTCTCGGGAGGAGCGATCATGTTGTGAGAGTTTTCTGGCATGCTTTTCAGGTTATTTTCTGGCCGCTGGTTTTACTGATGGGAGCGTTTACATCCTCGATGCCATTTCCCTTCAGTCCATCTGCAAAGAGTTCAAGTTCTCGCGTGGTCCCGTGACTCATATTAGCTTCTCTCACAATTCGGAGTACCTCGCAACTGCTGTAAGCTTGTTTCTTCCTCTCGGTGATTTATGTGTGCTGCTCATGGCACAGCTTTCGGTGGGACTGGGAATTGCCAGCCATCCTGCAAGGCACGGCAGAGCGAGCGGTGCGGAGGGCTGTCCCTCCCCAGGGGCTTTGTGACTCTGAAATGCTTTTCCTGCCTTGAAGAGTCACTCTGTAAAAACATCACCAGCCACAGCCGCTCCACACACCTGCTGCTGGCAGCATCCCATTGCTAACTTTTTAGTGACAAGCCTTTGCTCTGCATCCATCTGTAGAAAGGGCTGGAGCGGGGATTTCCTCCTGGCTGGTGCACTATGATGGGGGTTGCTCCCTTGGTCCCGTGTCTCGGTGCAGAAGTGTTGAGGCAGCGTTGAAGCAGTTTGGCACAGAGGTTGTGGCAATTGGTGATGATCTGTACAAAGAAAAAGACTCCCCCTTCATGCACGGATGCCAGGGCACAGCAGTGGGAAGCACCTTCCTTGTGATTTCTGGGGAGTCACTGAACTCGATTTACCGCCCCTCTGCTGTGAGAGCACGGCGGGGAGTGCCCTCCAGCCAGCTAGGATGCTCTGGCCAGGCTGAGGACCGCTGTGGTGATACCCTTGGGAGTGGCTGCCCAAATTTGTCCGACCCAGTGCTTTATCCTGGCTGTGACTCTAACCCTCCTGCTGGGACTCACAAAGCTGAAAGGGCCGAGCTAAGCCTGGAGGGGACATGCAGAGCTGCCCGCTGCCAGCCAGGGGATGTGCATGGGGATTGTGGCTCATCGACGTTTGCACTCTCGTTCCAGGATGAGAAATACTCAGTGACTGTTTACAAGGCAGTCCTGCCAAACGGGAGCAGATGCTGGAAACACCTAGCAGGGCTGCGCTCCCACTACAAACCCATCCGAAGCATCCTCTTTGGGGTCCAGTTAGACAGCAACGAGCCCAGGCTCCTGAGCCTTGGGGAGGACCGGCAGCTGGTAAATCGATGTGAAAATTTAACGGGCAGTGGAGCTTTGCCGTTAAAGTGGGGGGCTGGACAAGAGGATCAAGGGAGACTTGGTCTTTGGTTCTGCAGCTCCTAACCTCTCCCCACCAGCTCTGTCGCAGGGAGTTGTTTGTCAGCCTGGCCTCAGGGCAGGTCTGCAACAGATGCTAGATCTAGTTAACCTGCAAGGTCCAGGGTGCTGACAGACCACAGGGGAGTTGCTGTGTTTCCTTGTCTTCCCTCCAGGTTGAATATGACCTGAACAGCAGCAGCAAGGACCACCTGGTGGCCTTGCACAGGGACCGGGTAGAGCAGGTTGCTGTGCCCCTGTGCTTGGCCTGGTACCCACAGCTCAGCACCGAGTCCTTTATCCTCATTGCCAACAACTGCTACAAAGTTAAGCTCTACAACACAACGACCAAAATGTGCAGGTAGAGGAGAGATCCAAGCCTACCACTGCCTGGGAGCCCCATCCTGACTCTATGTTCTCCTCTGTCTAATGTCCACCCTACTCCCACCCATGAGCACGTGTTTGCCCATCTGTGATGCAGATCTTGGGATGACTCTAGGGCCCCCAGGTTGCTCCATCCTTGTGTCCACTCTGCTGTTCACTAACGTGTCATCTAGTAATGTTGTGGCTGCAGGTGGGTCTTGGTCTGTCCAGCACATTGGACTTGAGATGCAGCAGTTGGACATCAGATAAAGAGACAGGGGCCCACACGAGCAAAGCACAAGGACTGAATGATCCCTGAGCACTAAATTCCTCTCTTAGCCCCAGTGTGGTCCCTTCTAGCCAGGGACCCTGTCCTAGCCTGTCCTCTCAGCCAGTAGTACAAGGCCTTTGCACCCACCACACCTCCCCATATCTACCCATCCTTGTGCACAGCAGCCGTTCAGAGAGGGAAAATGTTTTGTGAGCCCTAGAATGGATGAAAATGTTGTTTGCCTTTAGAAAGACCCTTTTGGGACCAACCTATGGCTCCCCGTTGGAGAAGATACAAATCCTCCCAACAACAAACACTACGGACCCCCAGAAATGCTATCTGGCGTACATTACAAAGGACAAGGTATGGAGCCCCATCCGCCCCAGCTGTACAAGAGCCCCCACTTGTAGAGGTGGTGGTCCCTGGGGGAATTTCACTGCAGACAAAACAGTGCATAGGCTGGTCCTGCCTGAGAGCTGAGCGAGTTCCCGGGAGGAGGATGCAGCGCTGCCCTGGCGTGCAGCCCTCCTGCTGGACCCCCAGCCTTCCCAGGCCCCCTCTTTCCTTACAGGTGGGCTTGCAGATTTTGCCTGTCGATGGCAACCCCCACAAGTCCTCAGCTTTCATTTGCCACCCGGATGGTGTCTCTGACCTTGCTAGCTCCTACGACGGACGCTATGTCTTTACAGCGGGGGGGGATGACTGCGCTGTTATGAAATGGGAGGTCAACCTAAAGTGAGTACCACAGGAAGGAGAAAGGAGTCTTGTTACGGCTTTCCACAGCTGCTTGGCCAACACTGCTGAAGCAAATGTTCCCCAGCATTTACACTGAGAATGGGGCTTTTGTCCTAAAAGGTCTCTGTTTGTGTCCAGAGGAGTTAAAGCCAGGTCTCCCAGCTATTTTTGCACTTAACCCGGTGTATAGGGTGGTGCTGCACCGATGGGGCAATGCAGCAGGGTGCTGCTCGGGGAGCGTTTCTTTGCAGGGGTCTCTCAAGTGTGGGTCCTTTTGGGGCAGGTGACAAACCCTGCAGCTTCACTGTCCTTCCACAACACTGTGCCCAAGACCAGGCCAACAAACCGCATCTGGCAAGGGGGGTTGTGGGGTGGAGGACGGATCCCAGCACTCGTGTGAACAGGAGACCCACCGCTTGCTACGGGGAGTGTGAGTCGAGGCTGGCAGCGTTTCTGGACACCTGACCTGAGACCAGGTTTATTAATAGTGGAGCCTCATGCCCTGCGTTCACACAGGCTCTCCAAAAGCCCTAGCTCAGCACCTCCAAACAGCTCAGCATGGTGGGCATGTGCCATGCTGGGGATGGTGGCATGGCAGTGGGGTCAGCCTAGATTGCAATGACCTGTCAGGCCCCGACTAGCTATGTGGGGTGGCAGCTGAAACAGGAGGGACACAATTTGGGGGGGGAGGGCTTTGCTCCCCTCTATGTGATGTAGCCACATAGTCAATAGAGGGGGATTAAACCAGCAGACCTCACAGGCGGTGGCCATAGTGCCTATAAAATACTCCAGTCTAGGAAATGGTACCCAAATGGTAAGAAGTTAAGCAGAGGATTTTCTGGTCCTTGTGAGGGCCTGGCCAGTGTGATGGGGGATTGTTGGGGTTAGGCAGGGGATCTGAGGAGCGGTACTGGCTGCAGGAGGAGCATATGGGGTGGCTGCTGATACAAAAGTGTCTGCTCTCCAAATGGGATAGGCCAGCATTTGCTAGGAAATCCCCCCTGCATTTTAAGACTGGATTTAGGACAAGCTACCTTAATCCTATAAAGCTTTGCTTACATGAATAAATGGACTGCAGTAAATGGGGTGGCTGGAGGAGCAAAGGCTGCTTTTTCAAACAAGGCTTTCCAGGCTCTGTCCCGGAGCGTGAGTGATAAACCCTGCCAGGTTTCTTCTGCCTTTCTCTAGAAGTGTGCAATTTCCCTCTGCCAGCTCCCTTGGGCAGCACTGCCAGACGTGTGCTCCCACGTGGTAGGTGGGTAACACGGCAAAGGCAGGATATATATTTTGGTTTCTTTGCATGTCAAGGACCAAAGCTGCTCGTTGCAATGCGCGTGCAGGGCAGAGAGGGCTCTCCCCTCGAGACCATGGCTGCAGACGCCCGGTAAATACACGTGTACACTGAAAGGGAGCAGGCAGCTGCAAATGAGCTGAAAACTGCCAGGCCAGCGCGGAGCAACTTCACACTTCAAGGACTGGAAAGGGAGCTTAGCCCGTGTCGGAGCTAGAATAGATAGCGTGGCATGTTCCCTGTAGGTCTGTGGCTGGATTTTTTTATCTTGCATGTCACCCTACTAGCACAGAAGACGTCTCCTGGCTTCTGGCAAACCAACACCACGGGAGCTGGCTTTTAGCCCTTGTTCCTATTTTTGCCTTTTGAAGTGCACTGAACCCGTGAAACACCATTGCCCCTCACTGTCCTAGGACAAAGGCTTCATGGTTAAGACACGTGCTGGTCCTGCGTAAAACAGTTCTTGCAGGTACTGCTTGCTCAGAGGAAAGCCCAAAGGGTGCTGAGCCAGCTCACCTTCATGTGCCAGAACAAAGGAAACCTGGATGGGAAAGCAATGGGCTTATTTATTTTCTTTTCCACTTTGTGTGGCTTAAGCAGTCGGGGGTCAGAATAAGCGACATTTTAAGGAAGGCAATAGAATATAAATGATCCTTCTTTATGATGGTTGGCCAGGGTCCAGGCAACATTGAATTTCTATGTAATTTGTTTTTGGAGCGAAGCTCTTGATGAGCTAATTATCATTTTATTGCTGCTTCTGGCATCTTGTGCATCTCCACTGTGTTTAATACCCAAATAACTTAATTATGAAAAAAGCACGAAGCCTGCAAAAAACCCAGTGGAAGCAGCACTACAGAGGTGTGTGTGAAAGCTGCAGCCTTGCTGCCAGGCGTGGGGTATTATGTGGCAACGCTACGCCGTGATTGCGCTACCAGGCTTGGTTTCCTTTTTCATCTGCACAAGCCAAACGGATTCTTTTGGCTCCAACTGCCTATGAAATTGAAACAAAGAGGTGGCACTCAGATGCTTTCAGTTTAATGTAGGCTGCACCTGTGACACAGTCACCCATTACAGCAGAGGAAGTAGCGTAATGGATTGCACTGAGTTATTGGGGAAGAATGTGTTAGATCAAGGAACAGGGAGCTTAGGTTTGTGTGGTTTATTGCAAACACCAAGCCCCAGCCCTCTCTGCATGTTCAAAACGCTGATCTAGCTAATTCATCTCCCTCAATGTCTCTATAAGGAAGCAGAAAAGCTAAATGCCAGACACCAAGCTCAAGTCCATGCAAAAGCTCCTGGCTCCTAGCCCTGTGCTCATTCCACTAAACAAGAGGACCATTCAGTAATAATTAATTCCCACACTGTGCTATTGTATGTAAAACCTGGGTATGAAATATGCTGTAGAAGTGCAGGCTGATGATAAAATAGTACATGGTTCAAGGCAATGCTTTTCTTTCCTGAATTCTGAGGCCCAGGGGTTTTTTTTATTTATTTATTGAAAGTGTCTGTGAAGAATGACTAGAAAGGGAAACGTGAAATCTCTCCTCACATGAACCCTTCCTGTACCTTCTTTTCTCTGCTTCTGCCAGTGCCTTGGATGCTGCTGCTTCCCTGGGTGGGGAGGACTTGATCCCATTCTACAACCTACTGGATGGTGGCAGAGAAGGCGAATTCTTCAGGGTAATTATGCTCACCGTGAACGCTGTCTGGCAACATCTGGTTGGAGTTTAAGATTAATTTATACAGGCCTGACATTTCTTTATTTTTTGCCTAGCTCGCCTTTAACAGCAATCTCATTGATATGCCTGTTAGTAAATCTTAAAAGAAGTCTTATCTTCCGTGCCTGTTGGTAACTGAACTTTACAGTATCTTGTTTGAATCCCTCGCAGGAACTGGAAGACTATTTTTACTATGCACAGCTGCGCAGCCATGGTATCGATACACTGGAGACCAGACAGGTGTCAACGCATATTCCCTTAGAGGAAATTCCTTCTGTAATGAGAGCAATAGGATTTTATCCATCAGAGGAAAAGGTCTGTCAGTTGTTTTTATTGTTGTTATTAAAAGGAAAAAAAGCAAGACTGATTGCATTTACTAAGTGTCCTGAGGGCCAGATTCTGACCATTGTCATGCTGGATGGCTCCAGAGTATATTTGCTGGCTTTCAACGTATTTAACCTGGTCTGCATCAGTATAGTAGTGGTCAGAATCTGGCAAGCAAATTCCTCAAAAAGTAATGATTCCTCCCTAGAGAGTTGGGCAACCGCAGGGGCAGGCTGAGCAAACCTAGAGCCTGATGGTTCAGAGTGTTCAACAAAAGATGACCTCAGGGTCTTCTGGAGGTTGAGCGCTCTGCCACCACTGCAGAGGTGGGTTTCTTCAGAAGGTGAACTGAGAAAGTTGAGGAATGAATCTTCCTTCGGCTCCCAAGGTCAGGAGCCTCCAACTTTCCAAAGGCCATGGGCTAAAGTACCTTGTGTGCAGGCAGCAATGTGCTTTGGTCTCTCTGTGACTTCTACTAGTGGCTGAGCTGCTTTACATGCAGCACGTGGTTGATGGGCCATGGGCTGAGTCCCTCCAGGTTGGATGGAGTCTTGGCCAGAGCATCTTATATGTGTTACCAGCACAGGTGGGAATGTCCAGCTCCATGCAATCCCTCATTTGGACATTGACAGAGCCTCTTTTTCTTGTTCTGCCTGGGACTGATGAAAAAATGATTTTAGATGGAGACAGCAGCTTTTATTCCCACGGAACTTAAAGCTCTTTCATAACTGATAAACTCTGAGCTTCTCTGCAGAGGCTCTCTCTGAGCTTGCCTTTCAGGTTGCAGCAGCAGAGCTTCCTATCAAACATTTCTCAAGAGCTTTTTAGCTTCAAATTTTACAGCAGACAAAGACAACTGATTTAATAAGGGTGCTGCTGCTTCCCCTTTTGTGACTGTTTCTACAAGGCAGTTTGTATTGTATACAAACCTCATTTGTAATGTTGTAACCTGGCAAAAGGGTAATTAAAGCGCATACAAAAAAATTACTGAATCTGATGCAAGGAGATTTAAATAACGACCTCTTTGCACCAGCTACAGCCCTTCAACACAGGAGGGGTTCTCCCAAGGGAAGCAGTACACCGCTGTGCTCCCTTCATCTTTCTGCGGGGGAGGCTGCGTTCATCTCCGCCGTTGCACAGGAACCCCACAGGCTGCTGAGATGGTGCTGTGAGTCAGTGCCACCCCATCTGCCCGGGGAATACTCTCTGCCAGGAGAGCCAGCAGATGGGAGGCAGGACCTTTGCCACAGCCACCACCTAACAGACTTGCTTTGGAGCCCCCGCAGCCAGCAAATGTTCATCTGAGCTGGGACTGCTTTGCCCTTGTGTCAAGCTGTGGTGTTATCCTCTCGTACTTTGTTATCTTTTCCTTGGGTTATTACATTTTCGCCTCTTGGGGACAGAGAGAACATATTCCCCTGGGAAATGTCTCTGGAAGAGTAACTGTTAACCCCCTCTGCCCCAAATCAAAATGAAAACAGCATTTCAGGCATGGAAACAGGTGCTAAGCTGTTGTGAAACCAGGCAATCTACAATCTGCTTCTCAAAGCAGGCAGGATAGTATTAAAATCCAGAGAGAAAGTTCATCTCTCTCTAGAGTGTTTTAATATAGGAAAAGCAGGAGGGAGAAAAGGCAGCTTGGGCTGACTAGCAAAGCTTTTGGGAATTGGTGTCTTTCTTTTGTAGTTCAGTGGGGCTGATATAAAACCTAATCCCAGATCAGCCAGAGCTGAGTGAAAATGACTGTTCTTGCCTGGCATGACATTCACTACAGGAAAAATGTAAGGCTGAGATTTCCCTCTTCCCCAGGCTTCATTCAGTGGAAAAACTTGTGACACAAGGACAAAGGCCCAAGGCTGAATGCAAAGTCCTCCCCAGGGAGATCTTGCATCAGCTCCCCTTCGTGGGGAGTAGCAGGCTTGGTACGTGTTGGCACGGGGAATTCTCCCAGCATTTATCTACTGCCCGTGTATCTCCAAAGGGGCTGCCTCTTGGAGCACGAGTACAATGAAGGCATGGAGCAGATCCTGCCTTTTGGACACACATCTGCACAGCTGCCAACTGGGCTGACTCACAGCACCAGGCTTCAGGAAAACCGCTAGTATCCAGCATGGCCAGTGCTTGCCCGTTTGCCCGAGAGAAGAGTGAGTGATCCAGCTGTGCAGGATGTCAGCCCCACTGAGCAAGTTTCAGATTCGGCTTGTGCAGTGGCAGAACTGCACCAGACGCATGTCAGATCGGGGGTGGGGGAAGATGGCTTATGCCAGCCAGGGTGCGTATATACTGTGCGCAGCCTGCTTGTGTCAGGACTTTCATGCATGTAATTTTGTAGCGGGGTGGTATGTTTACTGGTTTGTGGTTTGCCTGCCCACTGATCCCAGAGTGGAGAGACAGCTGTGGCAAAGGTACCGGTAACAGCTGCAAAGTCACCAAGTGCCTATCATAAGAAAACAGACGAAATCCCAAATGACTACATATCTGCTACCCCCGTCTTGACCCAATATTGTCATAACAGCAAGCGCGTAACTGTTAGCCACGTCCATCCTCAGCTGCTGAGCACTAGCTTATCACCGGGATACGGTCACGGCACCTGTGGTACCAATATGTGCACGATTACAGTACCTTGGCGTTCATGAGATCGGAAACTGGCCTGATGCTCTTCAAAAAGAAAGCACGTAACAATCTGTCTTGCCTTGATCTTTAGATTGAAGAAATGATAAATGAAGTAAAATTCAGCAAGTATGTGGATACTGGAGAACAAGTGACAAAAATCAGTTTAGGGGATTTTATCAAACTTTATATAAATCATCGACCTGCATTTGGCTTGTCAATGAAAAAAATAGAACGAGCGTTTCAGGTTCTTGGTTATGATAATGAGAATGGAGACAAAGTTATCGACAGAGGAGACTTACTCTTGCTGCTTCAGTGCAGAGGTGAGTTATTTCTTTTCTAATATTAGTTTTATGCTTGCTAGTTCTGCCTTCAATTTCAGAACGTATTCACTGCAGCAAAAAATTAACCTGGAACTATACCTTGGTAACCAGGGCAGGCATGTGGAGCCACCTGTCTTAGAATTTTAAATTGAATAATCACATCTATTGTCTCAGCTGCACTTCTTTTACGGCTCTGGAAATCTCTGCTGGCCTGAAGTATCTTGTCTGTCAAATGATGAGTACGGATCTTGGCAAATTGTATCCTTCCTCCAGTATACCCTTATCTGAATCATACTTCTCTCTTCCAGTCACACAGTCACCAGAAAGGTAGTACAAAACTGAAAAAGAGGGGGACAAGAAAGAAGGGATGAAATTGGTCAGTCCTGGCCTGAATCTATGTGTGAAAGACTGAAAAGATGGGTTCTTTAGTTCAGCTGAATCAGAGGGAACTCTGTAAAGGCATGTGTAAATATGCTTATGGCCAATGCCCTAGAGAGGTAAAGAACGGACTTCTATTGCCTTGCTCCTTTTGTAAAAGCAGGGAGCATTTAGTGCAGCCGAGCATTAAAACAGGTAAAGGGAAATGCTGTTTTTCTCAGTACATCACCTGGCAAAACTCCTTGCCACAAAGATCCTTGGAAACCAAGGATTCAACCAGTGTGAGAAAGGTTAGTTATTTATATGGATGGTGTGAACAACCATAAATAGACACATTCGATATAGATCTGTTATGAAACTGTTCTAACTTCATGCTTCAGGGCATGAGCCAACCACTAACTGGGAATAAGTGCTATGTCCAGGCTGTTCCAGGATACTAGATCAAGACTTCGCTGCACCTTCCTCTTCCTCCTCTGCGTGGAAATGGCTACAGCCACGGACACAGGGCGACATGGGCTGTGGTCTGTCCTGTGTCAGGAATTCTTCAGTGGGAATAGAAGCTCAAGCCCCTGCAAGTGCAATATAGCCTAAAGAGCCGTCTGGATCAGAGTTTCTCCCTTTGATAAATATTTTTGCCTAAAATGCAATATGCAAGAACAATTTTCCTTAGGATCAACGTGTTTCGATTGGCAATGTGTTATCTCTCTATCTCAAAGAAGCTGAATCCTCTTTCAAACTGTCCTGTTTTGTTTGTATACTGTTCTTGTTCCGAGTTGCCTTCTAGTTTTTGTGCTAATGACACCATAACCCAAGAGGCTGGTTTTGCTTTGTTGTGTACAGGAGAGCATATGACAGAGGACGAGCTGGCGCAGTGTCTGACCACCCTGATGGGCAGGCATCCTGGGGGAGGAGGATCTGAACCAGACACCTGCGATCCCTCAGGTACAGGATTAGCATTCCACACTGCACAGAAGCAGGATCGCTTCAATTCCCAAACAGAATAATTTAAATTGCAAACCCATTACCCTGTTAGGCCAAGAGCTGTCAAAAACGCTGATGGGATTGCAAAAATAGTCAAGGAGCTATAGATTGTCCTTCATCCATGCAGCAACTGCATGGGTGTATCTAAAAATAAATGAACAATGAAATATAACTGGGACCTGACAAGATTACATTGCTGTTTATCTGCTGGCTTGGAACTGAAATGAGAAACACGCAGTGGAGTGTTTACACGCCAAAGTCCACAGGCAAAAAGGAATCCTACAATATGCAAATTACAGTGTTGATTTCATCCAGGCGGCAATGCCCATTGTAAGGGAGCTGCTGATAACTACCACATTTGTCTACAATTTATGTCCCAGTCTACACCAGTCTAGAACAGCAAATTACGGCATTGATTTCAGCCAAGTGGCATCGCCCACTGTAATTGGAACTGTTGGGAAGTGCCACATTTTTGTACAATTCATATCCCAGTCCACACCAGTCCAGAACAGCATCTGGTTAGGGCCACTGGCAATGGGTCGCACGCAGTGAAGATGCAGCTCCTGAGGGGAACTGCCTAGCACCGCAAACCGACTTTGAAATCCCCGGATTCCTTGGGATCCTAAAATCATGACAAACCAACAAAGTGTAAAAGCTGCATTTGGCCCCTTGCCTCTTCTGAGGTAGGGATCTACTGCAAGGTGAGACTCGCAGCCTCGCAGATTTGACAGATTCGATCCTTCATACGAATGCATAAAGAGTTAAGCTAGTAAACCAATACTTTTTCATGATTACTTTGTACATCTTTAAAAGCATTCCATCCACTTACTGCTGCTTATAAATTTTACTGATCTGCAAAGCCATTTTTACATTGCTATTTTGTGTTTTGTGTTGTTGTTACTGCTCTCCAGGTGCAGCAGCTTTGACTGAAGAAGAAATTCCAGAGGAAATCACAGCAGAGATATTCGCTGCTGACATTCTTGGCTTACCTATTGCTGAACCAGAAAAAATGAACAGAAAAAAGAGATGAATCTTTGGTCTACAAAGACACAGAAGACAGCTGCCACGAAGTTTTCTACTCGTTCCCACTTTCCAGTCTCTTCTCCTCAAATATCTTCAAAATTTGTATTTTGTGTTTATTAAAAAGTAAAGATCGCATAGTTTCATATTAATCCAACTCTAGCATAAGCCCCCCAGTTTAGCACATGCCACAAGCCTATGGGATCAAACCTATGTAGGGAAACACTGGCGTGGCTGTAAAGAGTGAAGCAGTAGTGGCCGCACTGTCTTCTTGCATTGACCACCCCTACCCTTGGCTGGAACCTTTGTAGAATTCATTTCAGGTGGGTTTATGCCAGATGCAGTCTATTTCATTATGTTAAGACAGTATTTATTTGTGAAACCTGATGGCAAAATAGCAATGTAAAAGTATTGATTAAATACATTGATAAATGTAGAGTACAAAATGCTTGGATAGGTTAGAATGGATTTGTAATTACAAATCCAACAGACCTCAGTAAAGAAAGGAATGCTGTGATATACACTAAAACCAGGTTTCCATTTTGGCCTTTAAAACTTACTTTTTCTTTCTGAAAGTAGTAGTTCCAATTAGTAGCGTAATACCAATGGGACGGCATCTTACTGTGTTTGTATAAACAGCATAATGAGGCTGATATAAGCTGCTGTAGAAAGATCAGTGAAGTGCTGTTGAACACGCTTCCTTCTTTACATCATCCTCAGCATCAATTTGAATAATAATGTAGGCCCTTAAGAAGCGTTCCTTTCAGTGGCGATGTTTTTTAAACAGAGATCGCTGTTATGTACTCTGAAAGTATCTGTGATTGTACAACTAGTACAAACAGCAAGGTGCGCACTAGATGCAAGTTAACGAAGGAGTCCAGCAGCACCATGACCAGAGTACACCGGGTATGTGACAGGAGAAATTTTCTGCGGAACATCGCTTCGCATGTAACTCTGCCCATTTACTGATGATGTTCGTGTACTCCCATGAATCCGTGTCGGAGCAGATCCTCCGCTACTTGAAAGCGGCCCTACTCCATGGAAATTACTGGAATTATTTTAGGCAGTTGAGAAACCTTATAACCACTGCAACACCCCCCCCCCAAAAAAAAACCACAACCCCAAAACTCTACATATTATGGATTTATCAAGTATCCTGTTTAACAAGGCACATGTTTTGCTTAACAGGAAGCATTGCCAATCCCCAGGCTCACGGTCTGCAATAGTGTCACAGCGACTTGCACAAGGGCTGGACGGGGTTGCCACTCATCCTGAACCGGCTGCCCGGCAGCGGGGCTCCGCACCCAGCTGAGGGCGAGCGGGTCGCACGTCCGTCGCCGGCGGAGCCCCCCGGAGCTGCTCCGCGCCGCCCAACGCCGCGGGAACGGGGAGCCGCGCTCCCTGCCCGCGGGCTCGCACTGCCCTGGCAGGGCCGGGGGGGGCAAGAGGGGGGGGGGGGGTGCGCCGACCC